AATTAAATTTCAAATCAAATTGCAGAACTATGGTAGAAACTTAATGATCTGCGCTTTCTCAATAACAACTCTACATACTGTATTGAACACAAATTCGATAGAGTGATTTTGTTTGTTATATTTCATTGTACAAGTTTAGATCTATTTTAAATAGCGTAAGAATTATACTGTAAATATTTGAATTTCATTAGAAATACTTCTTCTAGCTCATTAGGTTTAATTAATTTCCTTAGAATTTCATGAATACTGCAAATTGTTTTGAATTTGTTTTTGTTTATCAATAATCTAATTTTGTTTTCATGCATCTAATTTTAATTATAAAATAGTGGTAAATACAAAAAGAAATAGAATGTGTTGATGTATGCTGTTTTTTTTTGCATGACTGAATATCTGTTTTTTATCTACAAGAATGTTCTTGTTTCTTTTAAATGAAACAGAAGCAAAGATGATGATTTTATTTTACTTGATTGGAATCGGAGAATGCCATGAAAGACACGTATGACTTCGACATTTTCTCAGATGTAGTATGACATGAAACAAAAAGATTATTAAATAAAATAATATTTTTTGAGAACAGTCCTATGTGAATTATAATGATTTAAAATGCGCTTGTTGTTGATAATTATGTTATTATTCTTGATTAGACTGTATAGAAGAAAATTGATGAATTTTGATGTAATTGAAATGATTCCTAAAGTATTTGAATCTGCTATTTTCGATTAGATATGAATCAGTTAATATTTCATCGTTAGTAAATGAATATTAATCATAGGCTTTGTTGATAAAGAAAATAAATCGATATGAGATACTCTCAGAAAATAATTATTGTCAAACTTCAATAAAATTGATTTTAATTGTAACACTGAAAAAAGTCTTTCTAGCAAAACATAGAAAGAGCTGGTGGTACAAAGTATATGTAAATTATATGTAATGAAGAAAACATTTCGCACAAGTATGCTGAATCTTTTAAAATTGAACACAAAACTTGATGAATATCAAATCGAGTTTTAATGATTTTGAACTGAATCTAATTTTTATCGATATTATTTATGAACATTGCTTCAAACATTCCTATATATAATAAATCATTAAATAGTTTACAAATAATAGCAAGAGCATCAAGTTTGTTTGCTGGTAAAATTCAACTCTTCGATTTAAATTAACATCAGCATTATATTTAGATGCTTTTCCTAAATATGAGCACCATCACCAGACTTTGTTTTTTGTTTGTTCTTTCAAGAGATTTCTTAGACACAATACGATCTTTATGTCAACAAAAATCAACATTAATAAACGTATTTATTGTCCTGCACTACATAGTACACGTCAAAAGTCTGGTACTACTTTTTTGTTTTGAATCATCTATCAACACTATCCAACATTTATTTTATTGGGTTATATGCCTGTACAGTAGAGGCCCAATACTATCAATCTATCTATCTGTTTAATACGAAAAACTTTTGAATATGAAGTATAATAAAAACAAACAAAAGGCAATGACAAGACAAAATGGCATAAGAACTACAAAAATGATATTGTTGAGTTTGATGAGTGGTTAACCAAAAACCACTAGGTACTGAGAAAATTTTCTTTTTATCAAACTTTCTAGAGCTTTTTTCGCTGATCATTTTGGCAACAAAACTTTTTCAATTCCATTGAGAAATGACAACGTTATAGTTAAAATACTAAATACGGTACAATAACTTAAAAATATGATTTTTTTCTGATAAATAAGCATAATAAGTCAATTCGTATAGTCAAACTAACATGACATCAATATTCTACTCTAACTTTGTATAATATCACTACTGACATAATGCGTTAATATTTAAGATGATGAAGGTTATGGTGGTTTGAGTATTGTTGGACAAATTAATAACATCTTAAAGAATTAATAAATAAAACTTGGCAAAAATAATCTATAAAATGATCACTTATCTGAATATTGTTTTATGTTCAAATAAAGATTTTATTGTCTTTAATAAACAATAAATCATCTGATGATAATGCTCAGCATTAGGAACAGTATCGAACTATGACCTTGATTATAAATTTCTATTGAAGAATTAACCTTTAACTACAATAAAGTTTGATTTTGTGCCATTGAATAGTCATCTATGAGCATCTGCTCACGAGGAAAGGTTTAGAATTGATCAATCGCGTTTGCGTCGAGAATATTCGCGTCACGTAGGCCCTAATGAGCTATAAATACCCTGAAAATAGTTCGGGCCAACAGCTTATCGATGCTGAGATACTGCATTTTTAAAGTAATTTAACAGGTCTTAACGAGAATAGTTTATTGTGACTGTCTCAGATCTTTTGATTTGCTCTTATCCTGAAATACGAACATCGAATTTGCCAGTGTATATGAGCAATACGAAAGACAACTTCAACCATAGCCGTATCTTAGGACAAGAACAACGAAAAGATCTGAAACTGTTACAATAAAGTATTCTCGTTAAGGTCTGTCTATATGCAAAGGTTCAAGCCGACATTTCGAAAATCAGTTTTCCTAGTGTTTTTGAGAAACACCACGGTATTCTGTTAAAAAAGTATCTAACAATTACAGCATCTCGGCACCAATAAGCTGTTGATCCGAACTCTTTTCAGGGTATTCATAGCTCGTTAGGGATCACATGACGCACATACTCTCAATTCAAAAGCGATTGATCAATTCTAAGCTTGCTCTCGTTAGTTTAATACTTAGCAATTAAAACTGTTTAAAACGAAACTTATTGTATTAGATTGCATCGAAAAAATTATTTGTTCTGTTACTTTTGGCCCACCCTGTATATGATCTCTGCAAATTCTCAAATTTCCAGATCGATTGATGTCATAGCCGTAGCAAATTCATTTCTTAAACATAGACCAATAGAATTGGTATAGTTGAGATTGACAGCAATTCGAGTTGAAGGTTTTTCAGAAGAAAACGTTATTTGTTATAATTAATAACAAATAACAAAAATTGTTATTGTTATTGTTATTAATAACAACCGAATCACAATAACTTCTCACTCCTACATACAACCAAGATTATGTAATGAAAAATGTTTCGATTATATTCGGATTATTTTTCACTAGAACCAAGATTACAATCAATTTATGCGATTTTAAAAATTAAAAGCAGCTAAAAACCTTCGAAGTCGATTATAATTTTGATATTGTTGAATAATAATCCGAACATAATCGAAACATTTTCTAATCGGTTTTGATAAGAAATAGAAAAATACATTCGTGCTTAAAGCAACTATAGAGTATTTTCATCGTGAAAAAAGTAATCGCATGACAAAATTTTCGTGTCGTAAAAAAAGTTTCTGTTACAGCAAGCAGATAGTAAATAACAAGAGCGAACGAAAGAGAAATCGCAAGTACAATCGGGTTTAATCATCACAGCGCTCTATATGTCTCTTACTGTGTTTACATAGCAGAATGGAGGCATTAACTTTCTTCGTATAGTTTTTTTTTTATTTTCATCATGCGTTGGTGTTTATTTTTGACGATTATTATTATTATTTCATGGATAACGGTACTAATTTTTGTTGTTACACATATTAGTCGAAAGTCAGTTTTTCAAGTTCAAAACACTAGCTTATCAAAACTATCGACATTAGTAAATCGAAATAATGAACGTCTAGCTAAATTATATAAAAAATATAATTTATTATTAAATTTAACAGCATTTAAAACAAATCATTTATCAACGAAAACAATAATTTATTCTTGTGCATCATTTTGTGGTGGTTGGGGTGATCGATTACGGGGTATTACATCTGTTTACATTCTTTCTTTATTAACGAATCGTCGTTTTATGATTGATATGAATTATCCTTGTGATATTTTGAAAGTAGTTCAACCTAATTTTGTGAACTGGACATATGTTAAGCACGATAAATCGAAAAATCGGACTCGTTTATTTATTAATACGATGTCTTCATGGCAAAGAGCATATCGAAATAACATATCAAATTTGATTAAATCGAACGATTTCGTTGAAGCTTGGTCATCATATGATGATATAGTTATAAGAACTAATAGCGACTATATGACACTAGCACTTCACAATACTTATATGTTAAATAAAACTCGACAACTACTCGGTCAAATTCCTGTATCACAAGCTACAATGCGATCATTATTTGCCCTTCTTTTCGAACTTCTTTTCAAACCTTCTGTTGCTGTTCGCAATCGAGTTGATTCTATATTGATAAACTTTCATAATCGACATCTTATTTGTTTGCATATTCGTATTGGTAAAAATCCAGCAAATCCATTTGATCATGCGTTTACAGCTCGAGTGAATACAACAAAAGCAATGATAGATTTTGTTGATAATTATTTATTAAACAAATCTTCATCGCTTGTTTTTGTGACATCTGATAGTGGTCAAGCTGTATCAGATATTTTACGTCATTATCCAAGTTCATCAATGACGATTACTGGTCCTATTTTACATATTGATCGATTTGATCGGCAATCACCAACGATATGTGAGGGATTTATTAAAGTTATTGCCGATTTTTATCTTTTAGGCGAATGTCAAACATCGCTTTTATCAAATAGTGGATTTTCATTATGGGCTAATCAACGAAGAGAAAATCCAAATGAAGAATTATATCTTTATAATGAAAATTTAGGACAAATGAGAAAAGTTACTTAATTAAAATTGTATTATATGAAAAAACAAAGGCTAATAAAATTTCATCACAAGATTGTTTCGATATCATCTGTAGGATTATAAAGCGAAGCGTCGATGTGTTTAGAAAACAAAATCATTTGTCTTGTCGATAAAGTATCATGGAAAAATTAACTTCGGTAAGATCATATACAGCGTGCCTCAATTGATTTTCCCCTGTTGATATTTTTTTTGTTTTTATTGTTATACCTCTTTTATTTATTAACCTATTATATATAGAAAGAAAGCCCGGAACGCGCTGCATCTTTTGGTATATTTACATTAAACATCAAATATAATTTAAAGTGCAAGAGATGTATTAGAAAAAAAGTGACATTTTTTTTACTACAATACCTGGTGTCCAAAATGTTGTAACAGTTTTTATTTCACGTATATCTCGGCTTTGGTAAATGATAATATTTTGAATTTTTTTCCAGAAGATGTGCCGTAAAAGTTTCTACACTAGCTGTACGATCAAATTCCTTTTTGCCTGTTCTGATGGTTTTTCTTATACTCAAAATGAACAACTTACACGGCAGTATCACTTCCCATCATATAGAAAATATTTTGAGGACTTTTCTGATTCGCTATAGGATTTGGTCTATACGTGTTTTGTAGAGCTTTCAGCGGCACATCTTTCAAAAACAAATTCAATATTCCATCATTTTCTCAAGTCAAGATATACACAAAATAAAAAGTCTTCCAAACATTTTCAATATGATGGATAGTGGTACTGTCATATGGGTTTTTCATTTTGAGTATAAGAAAAACCATCAGAACGGGCAAAAAGGAATTTGATCAGACAGCTTTTGTAGAGCTTTTCACAGCGCATCTTCTGGAAAAAAATTCAAAATATTTTCATTTACCAAAGCCGAGATATATGCGAAATAAAGAATGTTACCATATTGTGGACACCCTGTAGTAAAAAAAATGCCACTTTTTTTTCTAATACATTTTTTAGACTTTAAGTTGCATTTGATGTTAAATGTAAATATGCCAAAAGATGCAACGCGTTCCGGGCTTTCTTCCTATATATGATAGGTTAATAAATAAAAGAAGTATAGCAATAAAAACAAAAAAATATCAAGAGGGGAAAATCAATTGAGGCGCACTGTAGATAATGCTTAAAATTCTACATTTTTATTTATTTGACAAAAAAGACAAAAATCATTTTCAAACAAATTTGATTGATCTATTGCACCATTCGTTGGCAAAATAATATGTCGATTGTATTATATTGTTCGATTTTCATATCAAATTGAATATTAGTTTGACCATTTAGATTTGTTTCTCTAATTTATATTAATCAGCGTCTTATTCTCATATCCACACACACACACAACGGCCCCTGGGAAAAAAACACTATTCTTGACTTTTTGCAGGAATGCTTTAACCCTTTCGTTACATAATTTTTTTTTCTGCATTGAAATCGAGT